TGACTAATCAGGGTTCCAAAAAAAAGGAGGAGCCTAGGAAATTCTTTTCTAAGGATTCTTCCTTTCATTCATTATTTTCCTTCCTTCCTTCCTTCTATTTATTTTATATATATATATATAAATTTATTTTTTATATATATATATATATGTATATATATATAAAAAATAAAAATCTGCAAGCCAGAATGACCGAAGAGCCACTAAATTACCTGTTTATACAATGTGGTTGGTACAAATACCCTGAAATATACAATCAGAGAATCAGAAATAAAACAAAAATCTCATGTATAGAGAGAGCTTGCTATCAGACAATACAACAGCACTGGAATTTCTTCTCATTAGATTAGGCTTCTTAAAAAAGAAAAAAAATTACATCTCAAATATCTGCAATAGATCCATTTTCCCATTTATGTTTTATATATCATATATTGTTATATTGTCATTTCCTCACCCGTTTAAAAGAATGGAAATTGAAACTCTACAGTAGTAATTAAGTCTTAAATGATCCAGGAACTCTGAATGTAAGATGAAGTCCTCTCCAAGCAACAGTTGGTCAGTAGTTGATCCAAAACAATGGACAATTTTGGCCCTTTCTCCCCTAAACATTTGCTGGTCAGGGATGCAATGGTTTCAACACCCTTTAAATCTGCATCTGCTCAAGATATTTGTATGTTGGGTTCTCATAGCCGTGGTTCTGCATCTTGTTCAGATGCCTTTCCTCTGGAGTTAGCATTGGGTCAACCTTTACCAAAAAAAAAAAGTTATCAGTCAGCCAAGAGATAATTTATGAGCAGCTGAAAGTTATTTTAATGACACCAGACTTTGGAGATTAAGATACAATCTGTCACAAGACGTTTAGCATCCATAATCCAGAAGGAAGTATAACTCCAATGCTTGTTTGCATGCTCTTTGCATAGGGATGCTAGACAAGTTGAAGAAATGACTCGTAATAGTCACTTATCACATTTCTGAACTGATTTTTGCAAGACATTCTTCTTGCTCAGCCTTTCAGATAGGCTCTGTGTGCGCGAACCAAAATATTCTTAGTGGTTTCATTTTGAAAGCTGATTTTCTAGTCCCAAAATTTGCAAAGAACTGCCTAGAATCATACAATTCTCCAGCAAAGATTCTATGTATTTTCTCCAGCAGCCTTACTCTGCTCCACCTCCCTCCATGTTCACATTACGCATCTCTAGGCCCCTCTCACCTCTACAATTCCATGGCTGATGGTTCCATACTGCCTCTTCCTCAACATCACCAAGCTTATGACTATAACTGTAGCTATGGCAACTGCTATCACCAGAAGGCCAATGAGAGCGCTGCTGCTGAAGCTGAAGTCATCACGCAGAGAACGGTCGGTTTTCTACAAGATGGAGAGCATAATGTGCAGGGACTGAGGCATGAAAACCTACACCAGTAAACAAGCTTAGGAGGCAATTTTCAACTGCTGTGACAAATATTAGATACAGCTGATGATACTCCTGTTCTGAGCAAATTCCATAACACACTATTCTTTCTACTCACATGTGCCCTAGATGACCCATAATATGATTTTTCTTATTGAAAACTCCAGAAAATATTGTTCTTTGCAATATCCATTACCCTTCTGAAGAAAAAGGATTTTATAAAAAGGTGGATTTGGTTCCCTCTAACAGTAAATCTATGTTGATGGTGATACACATACCGGTTCATCCATCAGTCCACCAACTCGCTCAGGATTGAAAATCATTTCTTTAACATCAAGTGTCTCATCAATAACCTGAAAAGAATCATGAAGGGATGTTATGAGGAAGCTAACAACCGAAGAAGTAATACTGCCTATGAATTTGTACAGAAGGCCACCACTGATTGCTACTTCTACAAGCACTTAAGTCATATTCATTGAATCTCTCTCTGATGTCCACTGACAATTTCATACATTTAGCAAAATTCTGAAAAGTTTAAGTTTTCACAAAAATGGTATTCAGCATATTAACCCAACACCCCATCCACTTACCAAAAGCATAAGAAAGAACCTTAGTCCCATAGCTATGTATTCTGTAGCCATGTATTATGTACACATTAGCACACCTTGTGGCATAAGGATACCTTCAAATGAGCATGGATTCTGACTAATCAGGGTTCCAAAAAAAAGGAGGAGCCTAGTTATGATGTGTAGAGAGTCCTTCAAAATGATGATGAATGTGCAGCCATCATTAAAGTAATCTAGCATGCACACTTGCATCAAGGTGGACTGCTATAGCACATGTTAAAAGTAGAGCAGGAAGGAACAGTACAGGTAGATCTTAGTAGTATAAGTGTATACCGATTTTCAATGGGAGGTAGCCCCCCCCCGCGGAAAAGCATGGGCCGGAAGTGACGTCATGGCCACGCCCCTCCCAGAATCCCTTGAGCGGGCATAACCGGAAGTGACGTCATGGTCCCTCCTCCCGGCATGCCTGGCGCGCCGTCCGGAAGTGGCCCTCTTCCCATCATGCCTCGCGCGGGCGGAACCGGAAGTGCCATTTCCCCGTCCTCCCGGCATGCCTTGCGCCATCTTGGCGGGAAGTGACGTAACCGTCTGCCTGCCTGCTTCCCCCGCGCGTGCTGGGCCAGAAGTGTCCGTCCTCCCGCCATGCCTCGCGCGGTCTGCGCCGGGAGCAGCCGTCCGTGTTTTCCAGGAAGCGCCGGGGGATTTTAAAACGACAAACTGTTTTAGGCGAGCGGTTCA